GAGAGGGGAAGATTGATATCCGGCGGACGAGAGAGTATGATTTGGCGATTCATCTCCAAATCGAGTTCCTCGTGAGAAGATGCACTTGAGTCCATTGAAAGGAGCGTGGAGGGGTGATGATTCTCCATTGACAAAGTAGCAAGACAAGAATCGCCCATGCTAGCTCATCTCGTTGATGAGTTTTATTGCTGGTTCGTACAATATTGCCATCCCAAAAAGAATTCAACAAAACAACCTTATAAACACCTTGATCATATCAATCCCCAGGATAATATAGAATCATTTGAAATCAATTGAGATAAGGTTTCTGAACTGCTAAGTTATCCATGCATTTATTGCAGTGGACTTTTTTTTAAAATTAATTAATTTTTTCATTTTTTTATTCATATATAATTATTTACATTAAAAATTTGAAATTTTAATAATTGAATCATAAATATTTCTAAAATTATAAGGTAATAAAACATCCATATTTATTAATTTTTAATAAGGTAACAAAAAAAAATATACATATATATATATATAAAAGATAAAATTGGGAATGTTGTATCACAAATTTAGGATATTACATCTCCTACCTATGTACTCACTTTTGACATTAATGAGATTGAATTTTTAGAAATTTCTCTCTCCCTCAAAGGTCCAAATTCGTGGAGAACACTCTCCCTTCTAGGAACCTTCACAAAGAAATCCTTCCTTTGTGCCTTGGTTCCCTAACTCTTCTCCTTCTTCAAGAAGAAACCGAATCTCCATGGTTGCTTCTAAAGCTCTTGAAGCTTGACTTTCCATTGCTTCCATGAAGAATCTTCAACCTCAAGGCTAGATTGGACATTGATATGGAACTTGGAGGAGAACATCAACCACTCTTACAAGCTAAGTCCATCAATTAACCACAATATTAATATGCATTAACCAAGTCTTATTATGGGATTAGTTTGTCTCCTATCTTTTCAATAACACACACTAGAGCTGTCAAAACGGGTAATCCGTAGGGATGACAAATATACATGTACTCGCGGGTAATACCTGAACCCGTCCCGACTTTGACGGGGAATACCCGGTTTGACCGGGTACGGATAAAACCCGATATATTAAATCGGGTATGGGTATGAGTATGTACTTAACCGCCCGGTACCCGTCATCGTTCCCATTTTTAATTTAATACCCACTTTTAATTTAATTATATTAAATTTTTTTAATATTTTTTATGTGTGATTATTTATTATAATATGAGATAGAGAAATAACTTAATTATAATTATAATATAATAAAAAGAATAATTTAAAATATCATTTTTTTATAAATTAAATTTTTTTTTTACAGGTACGGGTATACCTATACCTAACGAGGACGGGGATGAGGATGAAAATCATATACCCAACAGGTACGGGTACAAGGACGAGGATGAGTTTGACTCGCGGGGACGGGGACAGGTATCATGAAACTCATACCCGACCCGCCCCATTTCCATCCCTAGTAATCCGGCTCGGCCCGACTCACCACAGGTTGATCATTTGGTGAGTCAACCCAACCCAACTCATTTATTAATGAGTTCAAAAGAATTTAACCTGGCCCGGCCCACCACAGGTTGGTGGGTTAAACGGGTTGGCTCACCTAATTTAAAAAACATGTAATTTTTTATTTTCTTTTTTTAATATACAATTAAAGCCCAAAAAACTCAAACCTGTTTTAAAAATCCGAGACTCTTAATTTTTTTTTGAGGGGGCGAGACTCTTAATTAAGATGTCCATAAATGAATTATTCATCCCAAACATTAAATGATAATTCTAAATACAATCAAATAAAATCTAAATAATCTCATATAGACAAATATAATCCAAAATCATCTTAAACTTCAAATACAATCCAAAATCATCTTTAACTTCAAATACAATCTAAAATCATAAAAATTACAAATTACAACCCAACATTAAATCATTGTTGTCACTTGTCCATCTATAACATTAGAGTCTTGAATGGAGCAATCCAAAATATATTCATTTATTGAAGCATCTTCTTTATCCCCGTCTACAATAAAAAAATGTTAACTAATAATGATGAAAAATTAAGTAATAAATTATTAAATTAATTTCATATTACTAATAAATGTTACCTGTTAATTCAAAACCATGCAAAAAAATTTGAGTTAAAATAAGTGCCTCAACATTCTCTAGAAGAATGGAAGAACGGTATTTTGTTAGCACACGAGAACCGAGACTAAAGGCAGACTCACTAGCAATTATAGTGATTGGAATGTTAAGCACGTTGCAAGCCATCTTAGATAAGTTTGGATAACGATCTCAACGATCCCTCCAATAACTCAATACATCCAACTTATTAAAAAACTTTAGGTTAGGATTCCCTTCATTTAAATAAAGATCCAATTCAGACCTTCCAGTTTTATTAATATGTTGACTCAAATAATCAACATATTCTTAAGACATTATAAGAGAATTTTAATGTCATTGATAAGTAAGAAATAAGATGTAAATAAAATAAAGCAAGTTGTGTTGAAAATTTTGGGAATTACAAACTTACATCAAATGCATCCATCACTTGCTCATCATTCGTAAAAGAAGCAACTTGTGTTGGAGGGGAAATTTGAGAACTTGAAGTATTTGACATATTCTTCAAACAACTTGTACATCTTCTCCTTTAAAATATTAATATTTTCTTCACGTGTAGAAGGATCAATCTTCGAATAACAGAACCAAATAGCTTCAAACTTCATTCGTGGATCAATAATAGCCTTAATAGCAAGAATGTCACAATAATGATCCCAATACTTACTAAACTTGTTCATCATATTCAATGCCATATCTTTAAATGTTGGATCATCACTTTTGGCATTTTCCCGTAACAAACATTAAATTTTCCAAACTTGCATGAAGTAACAGTTAGAAGTTGGATAAGATGAACTTGAAATCAAATTAGTCATGACATAAAATGGCTTCAAGAACTCACACATTTTTTCAACCCTTTTCCATTCATCATTTGATGGACAATAAACATAAGCTCTATCATGGATAGCCAAGCTTCCAAAGGTACATCGATATCTAATTGCACTTTCAAGCATAAGATAGGTAGAATTCCACCTAGAAGCAACATCCATTCTCCAACCTACTTTTGTATCAACACCCCTCACTTGAATAACACATTCTTTAAATGCAATTTTTCTTACCTCCAATCCTCTCACATACTTAATACTGTCTTTAATCTTGTGCAAAGCATTAGAAGCCACCCATAAGCCTTCTTTCACAATAATATTCAAGATATGTGCACTACACCTTATATGAAAGTAATCACCATTACATATCAAATTATTTTGCAATTTCAATTGCTCACTCAATTTTTTTTTGCAACACCTCATTGACACTAGCATTGTCTAATGTGATAAAAAATATTTTCCAATCTATTCCCTAATCAAGCAACAAAGCAAAATTTTTTTGTGCCAAATCATGACCAATGTGTGGAGGTTCCATTTTACAATAGGCAATAATCTTGTTATTCAACTTCCAACTAGCATCAACAAAATGATTAGTCAAACAAATATACCCTTATTGAGTTATAAAAGTCCAACAATTAGATGTCAAACAAATTCGACTATGAGATTTATGCTTTGCAACTTTCACCCTCTCTTTGTGTTCATGGAATTTTTTTGAAATATTAGACACGACTGTATTCCTACTTGGAACTCTTACTTCTGGATTTAGATATATAAGCAATTCTCTAATCCACTTATATTCAACGAAATTATATGGCAACCCATGTTGAATAATAACCATTGAAATAAGATCATCTACAACTTTTTGGTCAATTTCCCTAGACCTTAACTTCCCGGCATGATCAATTATCATTTTCCCATTACTATCTTTTAATTTTTTTAACACCACACACTTTGACAAATGATGCAACATTGTTGAAGTTCCTATTTTTGTCTCACCAACAACATACTCAACACCATATGCATTACATTTCGCCTTTTCTTTACCATATTTTATACCAATTTTTGTAAAATAATCCCAAACTTTAGAAGTTGTTACCCTAGGTCTCTTGCTTTCTTTGTCAGCATCAATACCCTCATTTTCAATCTCTTCTACAATTGATGGCAAAGATTCACTCAAATTATTATTAACACATTGTTCATCTATGGTTTCAGATCTCATTTTGTTATATAAAACCATAAATATATACAACACAATTAGTAACAGGTAGAAATTTAGCTTGTCAAATATTACACCGATTCACTGATTCAACCAACACAACGTCACAACCAACAAATTTAATTAATATTAAAAAAATTAGCCAACAGTAACAAATTTAGCCAACATACAAAAGAAATTTATTAGGATTTAACCGTATCAAGATTCACGGATTTAGCTTCAGCCAACATAACCAACAAATTTAATTAATATTCAAAAAAAATTTAGCCAACACAGCCAACAAAGCTAATAGTAACACAACCACAAGTTTAATGAAAAGAACTCAAAAAGGTGTCTATGGAGTATGAACTATTAGAGTATCAAAATTCAGGTTCATACTCAAGGAATGAAAAAAAGCTTACCTTCGTAGGTGGTGTACGGTGCGAGACTGTGAGGTATGTCAGGGTGGTGCGAGACTGCGAGGTGTCCTAAGGTGGTGCATGGTATAAGCGGTGGTGGGTGGCCCCCAAATGACGTGCACAGTGCGAGGTGGCCCAGGGTCGTGAGGCGTGTGGTGGCTCGCGGCGCGCGGTGGTGGTGGTAGTTGTGGTGTGGTGGCAGCTGTGGTGTGGTGTGGTGTGAGAGGGTGGTTGGAGCTGGCTCTGTTGCGGCCTACGATGATTGGTGAGGCGTTGAAATTATTCTGAGTTGAAAGTTAACTTGAAATTGGAACCCTATCTCATGTTGGGCTGCACCTACACCTTGGCCCAATAATTATTTTTTTTTAATTACGGGTTGGTGAGTAAGCCCGACTCACCACGGGTTCAACTCGGGTGAGCCGGGTCAAAATTGGTCCGTACTAAAATTTTTAATTTTTTTTCGATCCAACTCGGCTCGAACTCGTGGTGGGCCAGGTTGGCTCACCAGGCTGAGCCCACTTTGACAACTCTAGCACACACCCTTCTGACACTCAATTAGGGATTTTGGCCCCTTACTTCATACCTTATTCTATTTGGCCACTTCTAACAAGTATGACTTGACCTTGCTGTGTATTGTATTTAACTTAAAAACTTAAAGGAGACAACTTTTCGAAAACAACTCTCCCTTCAAGAGCCAACTTT